CCAATATATCTCACCTCGGGTTTTGTGATTTAGTTGGTCAATCGATAACCAACTTAGTGATACACCTTGGGTTAAGGGGAGAAATTGTTGCAGGTGGCGCCTTTGCTTGGTTTATAGTTCGTGGCGCCTTTGCTTGGTTTAGGGGAGAAATTGTTGCAGGTATCGCTAAGCTGGTCAATCGATATCTAATAGAAGACACAGGTGATAAAGTAAAGGGAATGACATATGATAACCAATGGTTCAATCGATATCGTTCGTGTAAGTATAGGTATCACTATGGATGTCCACGGTTTCGTTATTGATCATTGAACGAAAGGTGTTTTCGTTCATTTCTTTATCTTACCGAACCTGCAGGGTCACGCGCTTAAGGGATTACGATCTTTTGAGTTCTATAGGAGTTAGGAATATGAGAAAATATTACCCTAATAGTTTTGGGAATAAAATAAATAGTTTTGAGAGAAACCAGAAGCGCTTCGGGATTACTGGAAGTGTTTCGGATAGTACCAGGTAATACCATGAATTAATATATAGGTGGAAATTGTTTCCATGGACTTAAATATAAATTATAAAGGGCTACAATATTATTGTGAGGTCCCGGGGATTTGTTTAAAGTCAACGAGCTAAAGAAAATACATAAAGGCCTATTAGGAGAGAGTTAATGGGCCCTAAGGCCGAATTGGGAGGTGGAGCTGGACCTAGGGCCGATGCAAGGGAAGGAGAACTCTTCCCCAAGTCGGCCACCCCTCCCCTCTCCCCTACACCTATATATACTAGAGGTTTTTGACCCCTTTGAGACACAAGTTTCTCACCTAGTTTTGTCTAGTTGATCTTGATTATATCTAGTTCTAGTTTCTCTAATCCTCATAATAGAGAAGCCCCCTGAGTTTCTCTTCTCCCTCCTCTAGCTCACGGCGGCGAATCGCCGCTGGATCGTGAACCTCGTACGCGTGCAATCCATGGAGAGGCCGTGTTTTCGGTCTTCGGTTTGAAGGATCTTTTGTGAACAGTTCAAGGGACTTCATCAACGATCTACACCTACTTTCGCTGCAACTCGTTGTTGGTAACGATCTGATCTAAACCTCTTAATGCATCTTCGTAGTGTTCCCGGGATCGTGATCGTAGGACGAAATTTTTGTTTTCTACTATGTTCCCCAACACTTTTCTAATTAAGTGATGCACACCAAGGATGTATCTATCTATACAATAAAAGATGATCAGATGAAATCTATGTGTTATGTTGATGCCTTGTAGTGTTCAAATGTAGATGTCTAACCGATCGAAAGAACTAGATAAACTTGTATGCCACAATAACACATATTACCATTGATGAATGCAGATGTTTTAATATCCAACATTATATGTCAACTTGATGGGTGTTCCCTACGTCCATAAACGATAGATAGTCAAATCCTATTGATTCATCTGATAGAAGAACAATTAAAACCAAACGTCATGGTAGCAATATACATGAAAACCGGAGAAATCGAAGTGTTTCATCGACCACAAATCCAAGTATCGCCATACGTCATGGACCTTTACCACAATATCCATGGCAACCGATCAGGTTCAAACAAAAATCTTTTTGACCGAGTGACACACTAAGAACTATAAACCAAGCAAAGGCGCCACCCTTAACAATTTCTCCCCTATACCATGCTGCTTTAGGATTCATGCAACTCTCGGTAGTTTGACACAATACAAGCCATAATTAAAGTGGAGTTTCAAAATTAGTATCCTAACCAAGGTCTAAGAAAGTAGTTAATTAATCCCCAAAGTGTGATTTTGCCGATACGTTGCTATGCACCTACGTCACAAGAACTCATGGCAGCATATTTTCTCATTAAGTGATCCATACTACGCAAAGATGCCGCTCACAAAAATCCCTCCTCTCAATGTATCTATCTATACAATAAAAAACGATTCGATGAAATCTATCGGTTACATTGATGCTTTGTAGTGTTCAAATGTATATGTCAGACCAATTAAAAGAACTACATAAATTCGTATGCCACAATAACACATATGACCGTTGATGGATGCAGATATTTTAATATCCAACATTGTTTGTTAACTTGATGGGTGTTCCCTATGTCCATAAACGATAGATGGTCAAATTCTATTGACTCGTCTAATAGAAGGACAATTAAAACCATACGTCATGGTAGCGATATACACGAAAACCAGAGAAATCCAAGTGTTTCATCGACCATAGATCCAAGTATCACCATTCGTCATGGACCTTTGCCACAATATCTTATGGCAACTGATCAGGTTCAAACAAAAAACCTTTTGACCAAGTGACGCACTAAGAACTATAAACCAAGCAAAGGCGCCGCCCATAACAATTTCTCCCCTTGTCATGGATTTGTCACGGTAGATGTCCTAGTGTGACGACTTAGTCGTGAGGCTAACGCAACTAGGTAGTAGCTTGAGAGGGGTTGGTCGGAATCGAGAGACGCGAGGTTTTACCCTGGTTTAGCCCCTCACGATGAAGGTAAAAGCCTACATCCTGCTTTATTGATATTGATCATGGTGATACTCACGATTACAAGGGTGCTCTTTTGCTACCTCTTTCTTAGGAGCTGTTGACTTGTCTATCTTCACTTGTCCTTCTTGGGATGCCCTGCCCCTCCTTATATAAGTTGGAGGGACGGATTACATGTGGAGTCCTAATTGGATTAGGACTATTTTATTACAAGTATAATCCTAGTCTTGCTTCCCTTGTAAGGGAATTATTCCTTTTGCCTTCCTTCTCAAGTCGGCCCACCATAATGTGAGTCGACCTTCCCATGAGCCGCCTTATGGGCTATTAGGTCTTTGTCGTCTGTCTGACCCGCTCGCCGGGTCACTAATGATGCATAAAGCTCGGGCGGGTCATCCGTGAGTCGCCAGGCTCAGGCGGGTCATCCGTGAGTCGCCAAGCTCCGGACGGGTCACCAATGAGTCGCCAAGCTCTAGCCGGGTTATACTACGGGGTATATATCCCCGACACCCCTAAACCATGCTGCTTTAGGATTCGTACAATTCTCGGTACTTTGACACAATACAAGGCATAATTAAAGTGGAGTTTTAAAATTAGTATCCTAGCCAGGGTCTAAGAAAGTAGTCAATTAATCCCTAAAGTGTGATTTTACCAATATGTTGCCATGCACCTACGTCACAACAGCTCATGGTAGCATATTTTCTCATTGAGTGATGCACACTAGGCAAAGGTGCCGCTCATAAAAATTCCTACTCTCAATGTATCTATCTACACAATAAAAAGCGAACCGATGAAATCGATCTTTTACATTGATGCTTTGTAGTGTTCCAATATATTTGTCTAACCGATCGAAAGAATTAGATAAACTCGTATGTCACAATAACACATATGACCGATGATGAATGCGTCACTATCCAACATTATCCGTCAACTTGATGGGTGTTTTCTACGTCCATAAACGATAGATGGTCAAATCACATTGACTCATCTAATAGAAGGACAATTAAAACCATACGTCATGGTAGCGATATACACGAAACCAGAGAAATCCAGGTGTTTCATCGACCACAGACCCAAGTATCACCATATGTCATGGACCTTTATCACAATATCTCAAAGCAACCGATGAGGTTCAAACAAAAATCTTTTTTGACCAAGTGACGCACTAAGAACTATAAACCGGGCAAAGGCGCCGCCCGCAACAATATTCTCCTCTAAACCACGCCGCTTTAGGATTGGTGCAACCCTCGGTAGTTTGAAATAATACAGGCCGTAATTCCAGTGGAGTTTGAAAAAAATGGCATCCTAAACAGGGTCTAGGGAAGTAGTCAATTAATCTCAACAAAATGTGATTTTGATTTGCCCAATAGGATTGGCGTTTCCATGAGTGGAGCCAGCGGAGGGAGCCCCTGGACGTTTGACTTGCCTTGTGTAATCTTCTCTTCTCGCCTCAATGGCCACATGCAGTCCTCAACCAAACCCACCATTAATTCCCTCCTTCCCCCATTCTTATTTTCCTTAATAACCACCCCCTCCATTTTAATGGGTTCCATCTTTTTTCCTCGCCTTTAACTCCAAACACTGCAACCTCTTCTCCTCCTCCCCTCCCCTTTGCTTCCCCTTTACTCTCTCTCTCTCTCTCTCTCTCTCTTCATGTGTGCATGTGTGTGCTGTGTTCGTCTTTCCGGCTCCCTCTCTCTCGCCGAGAAGCAAAGGTCACTTGCCCTTCCCCCGTCTCCGCATTTCTCCGCCACTCCACACAAGCGGGAGCAGCGCCCACCAAGCACCGGGCTTCTCCAGTTCTGACTTCCGAGGGGGCGGAGCTGGACCTGCTGACGGAATCCCTGTCCAATGGGGCTGGATTGGGCGTCCTGTCAAGGTACTTTCTTGATTCTTCCTTCTCCCCGACCCGTTGATCTTCCTCGAACCCATCCGCATCTCCCTCTCCCTCTCTCTCTCTCTCTCTTTCTCTCTCTCTATCTCTCTCTCTATCTCTCTCTAAAGATTTGACTTGTTCATCTGAATCGTGTTGGTTCTTGCGATTCATGTTGTGTTGGACCGGAACTGAAATCCATTCTAGTACATTGTTGTCTAGATTGTTTCAAGCGCCCTGCGTGTTTCGTTTGATGTTTTTTTTTACCTTTTTATGCGCGGTTGTTGGATTCACGGTTCAGACTCCACCCAGAGTTCATCACGAGTTCTCTTGCTGTTTGATTGGTTTGCTTGCTCCAAACTTTTTCTCCATCAATATGCAAGTGATAATTTCTTTCTCCAGGATGGAAGAATTGTGCTATCATGTGCGGCGCCTTTTTTCTTGCAGAGACAAATTTACCCCTTTACTTTTGTAGTTTTGTGCATGTGCTACCTTGGATTCCCCTGCTGGCTAATGCACCTTTTTCTTGGTACAGATAAATCAGTCAGGATAAGTTTGTAAAATAAACTCCTCTGGCAAACGGCACAGGACTCTGAATTTCGCAAACATCCCATACGTTTGTTCGTCAGACCAACCGAAGAGAACATGTCGTCATCCGACAATTCCATCACCGCGGCATTGTCGCGGACAACACCTGTGTTCAGCCTGAGAGTATGGGTTCTGATTGCCATTGGCATTGGAATCCTGATGGCAATCCTGTTCATCATAGTACTGTGGCTTTCCATCCGAAGGAAGAACAAGGCGGTGAACGGAATCGACACTACATCGCAAACAGAAATCCCTATTGTGTCCAAGGAAATCAACATTGACAAAGGAGTTGACTCACAGAGTGCGAATGACAGCAGCGAAGTGGCCTTCATGCCAGTTCATGACAAATACACACAGATGAAGAGTGTGCCACCTTTGGCAGAGACTAGATCTGTCGACGTCGACGCGTTCAGCCAATGCAGCTCAGTGTACAACATAGAAAAGGCTGGAAGCTCATACTCTGAGGATTACAACAGCTCAGGTCCAAAGAGGGCAGGCAGTTCACCATATGGATTCACATCAACCTCGCCGCTGGTTGGCCTGCCAGAGCTATCACATTTGGGCTGGGGCCACTGGTTTACCTTGAGGGACCTGGAGTTTGCGACAAATCGGTTTGCCAAGAGTAATATCCTTGGGGAGGGCGGCTATGGAGTTGTCTACAAAGGCCGGCTTATGAATGGGACTGAGGTGGCTGTGAAGAAGATCCTAAACAATGTGTAAGTGTATGTTATCTTGTTGAATTTACTGTGATATTAACTTGGAACTAAGATTTATTAGTTGGGTTTCCAGAGGGCAAGCAGAGAAGGAATTTAGAGTTGAAGTTGAAGCCATAGGTCATGTTCGGCATAAGAATCTGGTGCGGCTTTTGGGCTACTGCGTTGAAGGGATACACAGGTGACACATTTCTTCCCTTTATTTTGCTTTCATTTTGAAATATTCTAGAAGCTACTAGAATTAGCTTGTGTGCATAATGCATCCACCTTGTGCAAGTTCATCATCATATCTCCGCTAGACTTCTTGTTCTGAAGAATCGTGATTAAAAATGGATAATTAATACCATGAGAAGGACATTGTTTGTGTTCCTTCGTTTGCGATAATCCTAGCTAGTTTGTGTTTTTCCTGTCATCTGGTTTCAAGATTATTATTCCTTACCAGATAAACGACTCCGAACTAAAGCATAGTTCTTCTCACATGCAGGATGCTTGTGTATGAGTATGTAAACAATGGCAACCTAGAACAATGGCTCCATGGGGCCATGGGTCAACATGGTATCCTTAGTTGGGAAAGCCGTACGAAGATTCTGCTTGGGACAGCAAAAGCGTAAGTTTGGCATGTGGACCTCTTTTACGACCATCTCCTGATATCATGTTAAATGAACAGATAAATTTCACATGAGACTGTTGACTAGTACTACATGCTAATGCACTTTCGTTCATGATTTTCAGGCTTGCATACCTTCACGAAGCAATAGACCCCAAAGTCGTCCACCGAGATATCAAGTCAAGTAATATCTTAATTGATACCGAATTCAACAGCAAGGTTTCTGATTTTGGGTTAGCGAAACTTCTGGATTCCGACGCAAGCCATATCAATACAAGAGTGATGGGAACATATGGGTATAGCTCTCTTTCTACTCCTTCCCCGCTAATTTTTTCTGTGCTTTTGGAAACACATCTCCTAATCTTCCTCTTGAGCTGATGATAGGTATGTCGCGCCTGAGTACGCGAATAGTGGGATGCTGAATGAAAAGAGTGATATTTACAGTTTTGGAGTTGTGTTGTTGGAATGCATTACAGCTAGGGATCCAGTTGACTACAGTAAGCCTGCAGATGAGGTAGAGGCAAAGCTTATCCCATTTCAAGCAATTTGATCTAATTGCCCTTTCTCTTAGAGGTCCTTACACCTCATTTTTTCTGTTGCTTCAGTCAAACCTTGTGGAGTGGCTTAAAATGATGGTTAGCACAAAGAGGGCAGAGGAGGTTGTGGACCCAGGCCTTGAGGTTAAACCACCTAAGCGTGCCCTTAAGCGGGCAATTTTGGTTGGCCTCAAGTGTGTTGATCCTGACGCCGACAAGAGGCCGAAGATGAGCCATGTTGTCCAAATGCTTGAAGCGGTCCAGAAAGCATACCAAGAAGTATGTCGGTTTCTTATCCGTGTTCTCTCTGTCTTTACCACCGAATTTCAGAGCTTTTACTCTTGCCACATAACTAACTGTATGCCTCTTTTGTCAAAAAATAATAACAGGATGAGAAGAAGCACAGCCAGATGGGAAGCATCGATCTAGAGTCGCAGCAGTCAGTAGAGGAGCTATCAAACAGTGCTGATGTCTGAAGCTCCAGTTGTGAACAAACCCAAAAGAAATAGGAAACCTTAAGTTATTTGATAGTGACAGCTGATTTGATCAAACATGTTCAATACTTGAGTAGAGTGAGTGAAACAGGTTTGCAATTTGCTTGCAGATACCGAGGTTGTTGAATTCAGTTAGGTGCAAGCTGCTTGTTTCCGTGTTTTTTTTCCTTTTTGTGGTTTCCGAGGATTGCTTCTATGCTCCCCTGAAAGAGTTGCCTTACTGTTTGTTTTCTGTGGATGAGTCCTATAACTCGTTTGCTTTAGTGTTTTGTCTAGTCTTCTTCTAGGGGAGCATAGAAGCAAGCACTCTCTTCGTCTTGAGTTATTGTCAGTGTCTCAGTGAGCTACCAGGAGGAACTGATTTGATTGAAATGCATGACTATATATATAGATACCGGATTGCGTTTGCCGATGTATAGGATCCTTGTATGGGTCTTCAGTTCTACCATGAAATGAAAGCATAAATCTGTTGGTGTACCTTGTGAGAAGCCTTATTTACTTGCGGCCAAAGGTGTCTATGCGATTGCGCGTGCAGGGTGTATCTTCCATGGGAGAACCCAGGAACACCTGCAGTACACTTACTCTGTTGTGGGGAATGAGCTGGTGTCAGTGGCCGTGGCCAATCATTTGCGTTTTTCACATGTTGGAACTTCCACCTTTGATTGCGAAAACTGAAAGACATCTGTTTGGTCATTGCGTTCGGTGGCTATAATTTTTGGCTTGTGCACATGATTGCAGGGTGCCAATGATCAGCGTCTGCTTGTTTTGCAAGCTTGGCCAGCTTCCCCCTCCTTTTTCTAATGGACCATTCGTTGATCATTGGTGCAGTTGTTGCTGCACTTGTCCAACTTGCACTCTTTGGAATTCACAAATCTACGCACCATTCAGCAAGGCTCCTACCTCTTTTTAGGTGCACAAATCTTATGTCGATAAGTACTCCCACTGTTCCTAAATATAGGTATTTTTAGAGATTTCAAATATAAAACTACATACAGAGCAAAATGAGTAAATCTACACTCTAAAATATGTATATATACATCCGTATGTAGTTTGTATTGAAATCTCTAAAAAGATTTATACCCCCTCCGTCCAAAAAAGCTGGTTCCTCGAATAGATGTATATAGCATCAAGTTAGTGCTGCGGAGAGAGTACTTAGGAATGAAGATGCCCGTACTTTTTTTTAGGGAAAGTAGTTGCTAGTACTTTATGGTACAAACAAACAGAAAGTTTTTTTTTTTCAAACAGGAGGTTGAAACAAACAGAAAGGTAGGGCTGGCTTAGCCGGCAGCCACCATCCTTAGCTGCTCTGTCCCCGACAGGGCGTGCAAGCTCCAACCTGCCGTTGGAGCCTTGACAATGGTCGCTCCAACTGGTGGCTCGCTGGATATATAACAAACTTAATTCAGACCGGAGGCAACCAACCGTCCCAGGCTATTACCAGACTGGAGGTTCCGGCCTATCACTATCAGTCTCATCAACAATGAATTACCATTAGGCATTAGCAACACCAGTCACACACACACACACACACACACACACACAAATAAAGAACCAATCTGTTACTCAGATCGCATTGATCATCTCTCTATATATTTCTATACCAACTCCTCAGTGACAATCATCACACAAGATACTCTGTTAGGTGTATCATTTTCTATACGCCTGTTGAGGACACATGAACCAATCGGACAGGAATCAGTTTACTTCCCATGGGGATGGGGATAGCCGGGATTTTACTCAAAGACAAAACACCAGGTTCCCCAGCGTGGCCTAAGCTTACACTATTTCAGAGTTTTGAGGCATTAGCAGGATCAGGAAATCAGGATGTAGCCTTCATCGCCCGAAGCCGCAGCTGAACTCGGCGACAAGCCGTGCCGGCTCAGGCCTTCCCTCACCTTCCCATGCTGCTCCGCCTCATGCTGGAACATCGATACCAGCTGCTGGAGCTCCAGCTTCCTCACCTTCACCTTCTCACTGGTCACTGGATTTGTCAGCCCAAGGTACATCAATCCAACGCCAACAAGGATGATCCCGAGGAAGAAGAGAAGCCCCGCAAACAGCCCAAAAGTGTACGGAGTATTCTGAGCTCCCGGTATGCCATCCACGTTGATTCCAAAGAGACCGGTGATTATGGATAGAACTATGCCACCACCGCCGAAAATAGCCAGGTTGTGGGTGATACGAAGGCTTCTGTCCTGTAGAACGTTAATTTTTGGCACTGTATCAGTTTCAATTTAAAACTACCTCAAGAACAAAGGAATGCCTAAGCTAATGAAAACTACCTGAAAGAGCACAGGAATAGCTAAACTCTACTTTGTTGAAAATGCCATGCCGCAGAACTTGCGTACCTGTAACCATGCACGAACAGTGCTCTGCATAACATCCTGGATAGTGAACAAGCGGCCACGGACAGCTTCCTGCTCCTCCAACATCTCCCTTGCAGACTTCCTCTCTCTCTCTAAAATGATTCTTGTGGCACTTCCCCTTAAATGTCGGAGAAGCTCAAGTATGATCTCTTCCCTTGCATGCAGTGACCATTTAACCCTGATCACCTGTAGCAGCCATGTTATGTCCTTATACATTCCAGATCATAATACCAGAAAATGGAGAATAGCATGCATGAACGTGTGCGTGAAAGCTTCATCCTGTTAAATATGCTAACCATATGTTAAAATTTCCTAACAGTATCCAACCAGAACCTGTTTCTGTTTTGGATTTATCTGATCCAACTGTTATATTATAAATAGTGCAGGCACGACAGCAACTCCACTACATTGGTGAGAAGATATTCGACGAGTATTACTATTTTCACGATAGGAAAAAGTAATAGAAAAGGGAAACTCGGTAATATAATTACCTGTGTTGCTAACCTCCTGATTTCTTGATTCAATATGATGCTGACTAGGTTCAGATCTTCACTATTTCTCCTGTAAATTGATTTTCAGTTGTTAATTTATAATGTAATAAAACCATTCCATATAAGGGCACTGACATCAATTCAGATAAATGTTCTGGGAGTTCAAACATGTTTGTTGGGCTTTCTTACCTATTCACAAACTTCAATTCAATTTCATCTGCTTCCCCAAAGACATATTTACGGAATAATCTGGGAACACCATAAACACAAGTTAGTAGTTACACACCTCTAGAGTACTATTATTTTGAGTAAACAGCGGTATTATATATAATAATAATAACAGTTGCAGAAGACCCAAGATGAATAAGAAAATTACCCCCTCCGTTCCTGAATAAATGATATTCTAAGATTTCAAATGTAGTTCCTAAATACATGCCTCTACGAAGAACCAATCCCGACATTTCTTTTTTGCCCCCTTGTATAAGCCTTTCCTTCACAATCCTATGGTATGCAAAATATTAGTCTCACAAGCATTACTATTTCTAAAGAACATTAACTACTGTGCACTATGCAGTTCCAAGGACGATTAACTAGTCGTACTTCTCTGCATCCTAAGAAGCTGAGCTTACCGATGAGGATGAATCCTACAACCCGACACAGTTAGAAAAATGGAAGTGATGATAAAATATTAAAATTACCTGTCATCCCATCGTGAAAGACGACTGACCAAATGTGCTATCACTTCATGAGCTGATCTGGGTGTTTGACTTCCACCAGAAATAAGCAACTCCTGGACAGATTTCCATAAGCATCTTAAGAAGGATATTTAAACCGCTGAACTTCAGTTTTTCAGCAATAAACAAAAACTTTAGTTGATACCTGCACTTCAGTCACTCCTAAAACATTTACATTGATTGAAGGACCTTTCACATGCATTGCAGTTAAAAGAAAGTTCTGTGCCTGCCACGATCTAAGTACAATGGGTATGTCTTCCTCTTCATGATTTGGATCCCCGACTGATTGACCAAGAAGCTCAAATAACAGTCCTCCCGCAACTCTAACTGGGACCTGAATAGCAAACAGAAACTTATATGATAAATATGATAACCAGATCATATGAACACAGCATATGCAAGACATCGAAGTAATGAACACATCATCATCATCAGAGTAATTCTCTTATTTGTAACATGTGATGAGGTAGATAAAACATACTGAAAATAGCAGTTACCAATATAGTTGGACAAACTACTATCTGACATCAGCCATTATAATTTGCAAAGAGAAAAAGGTAGAACAGTTCAACCACAACATTCAGATTTCCTACTTCCCAGATTGTTCATGCACAATTATCAGAAGAAGAGATGCATAGTTCATGAGTAGACACCTACCAAAAATGCAAACCCATGAAAACAAACACTCAAGTTGTTTGACTTCGAGTTACCATTGCATTCCTTTTATAACAAAGGGGCAACTTTTTAAACACAGACCACGCGCTATTTGCAGATTGGTATTGGGCATACTAGATGGGAGTCAATGCAATCTTGATAGTAATGGTGTCTTACGTATTCTGAGTGTTCATTACTTTTCTCCTGAGGTGTAGCACCAGTGAAAGCTCATGAACAGTGATAAATCTAGGATGAATTCTAGAGTTATATTCCAGCTGGTATGAACTGAACCACCAAATTAGGCCAGCGCATGATTGATATGTCACCACAACATTCAAGGAGAAAAGGTGGCTGTCATGATACTTATTATGCAAACAGGGTTTGAACTCTGAAGCAATCAGATAATTTTCACATGGAAAATACAGGCGATCAAAAGATTGTGAAGACATGTTGGGTGCTCTCTTAAGAATCAATAGTAGGCCATCAGTTAATTTTGGAAAGATTCCATAAGAAACAATAATTAACAGTTAGTTATAAAATGTTGAACCTGAATTCATTAGAAATATCAAAGAATAGCTATATCAACATAAAATTGCAGGCAGAAAATGTGCATACACAAATGAGAATGAGAAAGATAACCTCATAGAGAAGGTACTTCATCCGATCGCTTATCAGCCGGCTTTCATCTCTCAGTGCAGTTCTGATAGCTGGATGCATCCAGTGAGCACTACCCAACCATGCGTCAACGGAAGGATGGCCTGCGGTGACATGGAACCACCATGTAGGTCCCCCAGGACGCAGCCAGTACGGAGCGGCAACATCGGCTACAGTGTAATCATCCTCGCTGTCGCTTATCGGCACATGTTCATTCTCCCAGCTAGCATCTGATTGAACCCTCTGGCTCAGCTCAGCAATCCTTGACCATCCAATCGGCACCCACTTGTGATCATGAACATCTCCAGCATGTGATGGCCTGTCTTTGACCGCAAAAGGATCGATGCCAAGCTCCACCTGGCCGGGGATTTCCAGCACACCTCCCTCATTCGGTGCCGGGCTCACAACGCGATGCCCATTCCTAGCTGCCTGGTTCTTCATGTGCGCGAGATCAATCTTTGGCAACGATTTGTGATGAACCAGCTTCCTGTGACCCTTGACGAGCTCAAAAGCGCAGATGAGCCCATCGGTCCAGAGCTCGCTCCCCGGAACGTGCTCCTTGACCAGATTCGGCTTGGTGCCACCGTCCTGCAGCTTGGAGTTGGACATGCTGCTGATCTGAGGCGGCGGCTGCCCCTCCACGCCAGCCATGCCCCTTCCAATTATACCTGCGTGCGGATAGGTTCAGCAGGGGAACGTGAGAGAAGCCGATACTGATTTCTCGATGTTATTACAAGTATATTGTGTTTAAGTTAGAGATAGAATAGGTTTAAACCATAACCATGTACTATGACTTGTCCTCTACTCAAAAGTCTATCTCCCTCGCATTGTACTCCGTATACACCACATACGAGGGTCGGATCAAATCAAACACACAGCAAATATTGTAGGGTTCCATAATTCGCACGCTCGACACATCCAGCACGGCGCAATCAGCAAGCATGAGTTCATGGGACGGGCTCGTTCGCAGGTAGGGGGCATGCGATGGGTTAGGTGAAGCAAATATTCGAGCGGATTAGGGGCCTGCTAAATACGCACGCCGGAACCAGATCGCGGCACTCGCTGCCGACACGACGCCGCGCCGGGATGGAACCTTACCTTTCAAGCTTCGCGGCGGGGCCCCGACGGTGTCCGCATGTGCTAAGCTTGCGCGCTTCTTCCGCCCCCTCGCGCAAGCCCGCCCTGGTAGTTCGGCGGAAGGGAGTAGTTTCGAAAGCAGGAGGGGGGAAGAGGCGGGGGCGGGGGAATCGCGGAAGAAGGGAGTAGCGGCCGAGTGGAGTGGAGCGGAGCGGGCGCTTCGAGAAAAGGGAGATGCAAATGCTTGATTTGCTTTGCCGCGACCACTCCTTTTCTACCAGGATCAGGATCTTGACACTGCTTTTTTTTTACAAGTGCTACACGTGAGACACGAAGCAATTTTGTTTTGACGTTTTTTGATGATAAGTTTAGTTATAAGAGGATGGCAATTTTAGTTGTGAAGCATAGCAACTTTTAATTTTTTAGCTTTGTTTTTTCGGATGGTAACTTTATTAGTGTAAAAAACCGCAAACGGTGTTACTTCGTGCTACATGTGTGGCACTTATCATTTGGATTTTTTAAGGAAACATATCACTAGTATTAACTTGTCCAGACCGAAAATCTTCTCTGTGGAACATCAAATCATATGCAAAATGTTCCGATCTGAGGGTTAAAACATTTTTTGCCATTCAACGCCGGTCATCAAAAGGATGCGACTTAGGAAGGTTTGGAGGGAGTTCGGACGTTCGAAATCCCGCAAACCAACACCAAACATGCGAAAGTTTGCGGGGTCCGGACATCCGTCACGTCGGACTCGGACAATCCGGCACCAAAATACCTCACCCGAAGCCCTTTCCCCCCACTCCATCTCTTCCCTGTGCTTTGTATCTGCACACTCGGAGACCGCCGCCGCTCATGCCTTGCCGAACCCAGGACCTCCGCCGCTCCAGCCAGCGCCTGCCCCGCCTTTGCCTACGTCACCGTTTCTGCCAAAGCCCAGGTTCAATCTGCACCTGCCACTATCATCCATGGTGCACGCCATGCTCACCAGGTGTTCAGCCAAATGCCTTTGTGGGATATTTTGGTGTTGTTGTTGTTGACTTTAAAGGAAACACAATGGTTGTGTACTCGGTGAAGAAGAATGAATTGTTGTGTGAGGCGTGGTCGACGGTGTGGAGTTTCAAGGAATGAAGCGAAATGTAGCATTTTTGGCAAAGTGAAAGCGTGCATGTTTGGTTCAACGAGTAAAATAACTACATGCCCCACAACATGGAAGTGATCCATGATCACGACGCGGTTGCTACTCCATCTATGGCACACCATTCAAAAGGTCGTCAAGCAGGTATCGCGGTGTGATTGCACAAGTGGAAAGAAGGTGGCCAAGGGACATGTCACTCGTGAGCTAGTAAGTTTTGCTTCCTGTTGCTCTATGTGTTGGTCATTTCATTGATCTGCTCAATGCTGCAACTTGTTGACCAGGTCAATGCATTGTTCTCAATGGCATAACTATTAAAAAGCATGTGCCGAGGAGTAGGTTCAAGCTCAAGGAGATAAGGTTTAAGATGAAGGCCGTTTTTGAGAGAACAAATATCAAGGTCTTTGGCACAAACAAACTGTTCATTTGCATTTGGGATCAATGAATTTAAAAAACTTGTTGAACATCCGATGATTTCGTATTTAAATGTATGGTTGAGTTGCTATTCATCAAGATACTTGTCACGCCCAATATGCGATACTATCCTAACGAGACTCGAAGGCCCATCGAAGATAGAACCGCATATTGACACGCTTTAGCAAGGTGGATATCATTACATCAAACCATTATATAATAGATGGGGATACATACAAGGCATACAAATACCACATGTAAGTGCATCTAGTGCCCCTTAGTGATTTTGGTGTATTAAAGACTTATAGGTTAAGGGACTAATGCGTTTGTGAGTGTACACGGGTCTATAAGTCAATGAGGAGTTTGATATTTACAGAGAAAGTCGACCCCTAAAAATGAAATTCTTCGACTGAAGACTTTGAATCTCTGAAGACTTCCTGAAGACTTTGAAAGTGAAGAAATTGGTGTGACCTTGAAGACTTGGTATTCATTCGAGGAACATGAAGCGTGAAGACTTTTGTTTTCGTAGTTTCATTTTCTCTTTCTTGAGTCATAGGAAACATCGTACTGTTAAAGGGGGTCGAGGAAATACTAAGGAAAAATTTTCATGTGATGCTCAACTCAAAATCCTACACCTACCAATCCCTTCGAGTGAAGCCAATGGAAATCTCATACAGTCCAGTCATATTCTTCAGCGACAGAGACGAAGTTCTTCTGGTCTCTGAGGAATTTGTTCTGACTGAGGAGTTAGAATTCGCCAGTGCGGATTTCCTACACAGTGAGGAACATGATAGCCCTGAGAATTTTGCTACTCAAAATTCCGACCGTTGCTGTGCTATGCGCCAGCTGTCCCAAAATATCTATCCATCTAACGGTCATATCAATGAAAGGCATTTATGTCTTATCATGTCGGGCTGTTCCCTAGGCTATAAATAGCCGCCCCCTACAACCACTAGCTGGTTGGCTGCTTCGAGAGAAACTGACACTTGTCATTTGAGAGCAATCCATCCTCCGAGGACTTTGAGCGAAAATCATCAAGTGAGGAAAAACCCAAACCCAAACACCTACAAACCCCAAGTGATTGAGCATCACTGAAGAGATTTATCCTGCGCGGATCCGGCACTTGTTACCTTTGAAGACTGTGCTTCTTCCAGACGGTTAGGCGTCATGGTCTAGAGCATCCAAGAGGAATTGTGGATCACCGAGTGACCAAGTTTGTGAAGGTTCGGAAGTCACCTAAAGACTTACCACGAGTGATTGGACGAGGTCTGTGTGACCTTAGTTCAAGGAGAATACGGTGAGGACTGGGTGTCCTGAGCTGCGTGTTCAGGACTGGGTGTCCGGGACTGTGTATCCTCGAGTTTAAATACTCAGCCGCTCCAACCAGACGTACAACTGAGACAGCAGTTGGAACTGGTCTACCAAACCATTGTCTTCACCAAGCTTACTGGTTCTATTCCCTCAACTCGTTCATTTCCTCATAACTGTGTTGTGTGTTTGTTCATATCTGTGTTTGAAGACTTTGACTGAAGACTTCCTCAATTTCCTCAGTTCAATTTCTTCAGTCTGTTTGTCTTCATCCTGTGTTATCCTGTGCTTACGCTTCCTGTACTTTGTGCCTGTCTTCATTTCATCATGATGACTATGCTTGTATTTTGTTATGTTTACTTTTGAGTACTTATTCCGCTGCTAGTAGTTCTTCGCTAAAGAATTTCCTCACCGGCAAATTCCTCAGTGAAGAATTTCATAAAAATCGCCTATTCACCCCCCTCTAGTCGATATAATGCACTTTCAATTGGTATCAGAGCAAGGTACTCCCTTGTTCTGTGTGATTTTAGTTTAACCGCCTGGAGTTTTTGTTATGTCGACCGCAGGTATGATCAAGGTCTCTGCTGGGTGTCCTACCTTCGATGGGACGGACTACCCCTACTGGAAGAATAAGATGCGAATGCATCTTGAGGCAATTGATAACGATCTCTGGTATGTTATGGAAAATGGTGTTCCCTCAGTCACACCTTCTCTGAATGTTGCTGATGTGAAGAGACTCAAGCAACTCGACTCTCAAGCGAAGAATATCATATGTGGCCATCTGAGCAAAGGACAATATGGCAGAGTGAGTGCTTTGGAGACAGTGAAGCTTATCTGGGACAGGTTGTCCGAAGTGAATGAAGGAGTCTCAACACATCGTGACTCTCGAGTTGATGTTCTTCGCAATCTCTTCAATCGCTTCAAAAGACTCGACAATGAAAATGTTCAACAAACCTTCGACCGCCTCACTGACATCTCAAATGAGCTTCAAGCACTTGGTGCCACTGACATCACCGACCATGAGGTGGTGAAGAAATTGCTGAGATCGCTTGATTCCTCATTTGACACTCTGGCATTGATGATACAAGAACGTGCTGATTACAAGTCACTTGATCCCGCTGATATTCTCGAGAGGCTAAATACTCATGAGTTCCAACTTGCTGAAAAAAGAGATCTCTATGGTTCGAGCTATGGCAGATCACGCGCACTGAAGGCCAAGGCAGTATCTGAGTCCGAAGATGAAGACTCTAGTAGCAGCCTTGGTGATCCTGAAGAACTAAGCCATGATCTGGCTTTGCTCGTGAAGAAGTTCCAAAAGTTCTCAAGACGTGGTCGCCTTGGAAGACCCTCAAGGAGCAATGACTCCTCATCCAATGACTATAAGAGGAGGCTCTGTCACAAGTGCAAGAAACCTGGACATTACATTCAAGATTGTCCTTAGTGGGAAAAGGAATCAAAGAAGAAGAAATACAAGGATTACAGTTCTGATGATGCGAAGAAAAAGAAGAAATCCACAAAATCTTCATCATCAAAATCCTCAAAGTCTTCATATCACAAGAAGAACAGCTCCAAGAAGGCTAGGGCATTCATTGGCAAGGAAATGGACTCTGAGGCTGAATCTGAAGAAAATGAGGAAAAGGAGACATCTGAGGAGTCCGAATCCGGAGTGGCGAGCCTAGCTCTCGCTACTGCATTCGTCAGCAAGTCTATCTTCAAC